AAAAAAAAAAAAAAGAAACAAAAAGCTAGGCGGCAATGAACAAAATATCTTTAAAATACTTCAAGAAAAAATAACACTAAAGAAAAAACAGCTGAACTCCATGAAGCACACCTGTAATCTCAATGGCTAGAGAGGCTGAAACAGAAGGATCTCGAGTCCAAAGCCAATCAGCAAAAGTGAGGTGCTAAGCAACTCGGTGAAACACTGTCTCTAAATAAAATACAAAATAGGGCTGGGGTCACTCAGTGGTTGAGTACCCCAGATTTCAATCATCAGTGTCCAAAAAGAAAAAATAAATTCTTTACCTAGTAAGAATGTCTTTTAAAAACCAAGACTTGGGGGTGCTGGGGTTGTGGCTTAGTGGCAGAGCACTTGCCTGCCATGCATTAAGCACCACATATAAATAAAAAAATAAAAAATAAATAAAGGTACATCAACATTAAAATACATAAAAAAAAAAAAAAGACTTGGGGCTAGGGATATAGCTCACTTGGTAGAGTGCTTGCCTTGAATGCACAAGGCCCCCAGTTCAGAAAACACACACACACACACACATAAAAAAAAACAAGACTTTCAGACAGATAAAAACTAAAATAAAATATCACCAACAGAAAGTGCACATGAATCTATATTAGAAATCAGATCAGTGAATATTTGAGGGTGAAAGATGAGGGGGATACAACTATGAGGATACTACTAATGGTGTCAATCTGTAAATCCAGCTACTTGGGAGATTAAGATAGAAGGATCACAAATATGAGCTTGGGCAACTTAGTGAGACCCCCATCACAAAATAAAAAATAAAAAGGCTGAGGAGATATCTCAGAGGTAGATTATCCCTGGGTTCAATCCCCAAAATTGCAAGTAGGAAGGCCTGGGATATAGCTCAGTGGTACAATACATGCCTAGTATAGTCAAGACCCTGGGTTCAATCCCCAGTACCACAGGGGAAAAAAAATATGGTATATTAAAAATAAAATGCTGGGACTAAGGAAGTAGCTCAATGGTAGAACACTTGCCTAGCATGTGAAAGAGGTCTTGGGTTCCACAACACTGCAACTTGGGGGGGGGGGGACCACAGACTTATAAAACACATCATGAATAAATCTTAAAAGTATGCTAAGCAGGGGAGGGGGGAAAAAAGGGTACACACCTATAAGAATGTTGACTGGGAAAAAAAAAAACAGCCAGTTTCTTCCACACTTTCATCCAACAATCAACAAGACTTCTTCGAACAAATGTGTGGGTTTTTATTTCTACACACCAAATAATCAATTATTCTGCAACTGCTGAATATCCTTTAATTCAATTCTAATGCTCTTTGCCTAGAGATTGTATCAGATCCCCAGGGTTGCAGGCTTAGTCCCTAAGACTGCTCCCCTTCCTATATCTCAAGTCCCAGGTTGTTTGACCTCACTACAAATTCAGATTCCCATAATCCCTTCCCTAGGCTCAATTAACTTGCTACAGAAGCTCACAGAACTCAGGGAAACATTTACTTTACTGAAGCTTACTAATTTATTATAAAAAATATTACAAAAGATAGGGATGAGATCTGATAGACAGATAAGGAAATGACCAAGAAGAGGCCCAGAGTTTTTATACCCTCTCAAGGGACACTACCTTCAAAGAATCTCCATGTGTTCCTATCCTTTTGGGGTTTTATAAAAGATTCATTATGTAAATATAAATGATTAAATCCCTGACCACTGGCAAACAACTTAACCTTTAGCTTTGTACCCTCCAGGAGGTAAATTCAAAGTCCCAACTCCAGGTCTTTCTGGTGTCCAGCCCCCATTGAGAAGCTACCTAACAGAGGCCAAGCCCTCAATTAACTAATTAGCATGTAAAAAGACACATTACATTGGAAATTCCAAGGATTTTAGGAGCTGAATGCTAGGAAACAGGAATGAAAGGAAATATAGGTATCACATACCACAAAACCATTCCATTTATATAACATTCTAGAAAAGCATTACTAACCTATAGTGACAGAAAGCAAACTGGTGATTCATAGGATTCACTGATGTCACAAAAGATTTTTGTGGAATCAAAATGTACATTATTTTTTAAAAATATATACATTTTTAGGTTGTTGATGGACCTTTATTTATTTATTTGTTTATTTATATGCATGCAGTGCTGAGAATGGAACCCAGTGCCTCCTGCAAGCCAGGCAAGTGTACTACCACCACAGCCCCAGCCCCAACATTATATCTTGATTGGTCAAAGTTTGTCAAACCATAAATTTGTGATCTGTGCATTTTAATGTATATGATTTATAAATCAATAAAAGCTATTTTAACAATCTTAAAGCTGCTGGCTAAAAATATATATACATACCTCTAACTGCTGCTGCTCCATTTTAGTCAACAAGAATTTGGAGTAGATATTACTTTTTTCAAGCAAATGTTGAAGTCTACGGTAGCGAATTTCTGTGGACTCTCTGTCCCACGACATGCGAGCCTATCCAAAGAGAAAATTTCCATATTTACCAAATTTTACTAACTTTTTTTTTTGCATAAGGTTTAATACAGGCTACACAAACACTGTGTTTAAGAAATTTCCTGAAAGTAATGGGGAAATAAAAGATTCTCACAAGATTTATTAGACGCAGCTTGTTTTTCAAACTAAAAACTAAAAAAAAATTCTTAGATTCAACAATTTGATAAAGATTAGATATCAAAATATTAAAATTTCAGATAATAGACACAGGATTTCTGACATGTACCAACTTGAAGGCCCATTAAAAAAATATTTGAAAGTTAGAAAATAAGCAAGTAATTCAAGTTGGATTTAAGTTTTTTGATTTTTTTGAGATGGGATCTTGTACTCCTGGGCTAAAGCAATCCTTCTGACTTTGCCTTGTATAGTTCAGTGGTGTGTTAACTTCTGTAAAGATAGTAAATACTTTAGTATTTGAGCACCACATGGTCTCTACTACAAATATACTCAACTATGCATTTGTAACATAAAAGGAGTCATAGGTAATATTTTAAACAAAAGGGCACTTGTTGTTTCCTAGTAAAACTCAGCTAGTTTATCAACAAAGACAGACACTGAATGAAGCAGCTTCAAAAAAATTACATAAAGCTACTGGGCAGAACACAGTAAATCTGATTTATACTATAGGTGAGATGACATCACTTAAAAGATATATTGCTTAGTACTACACTATTAGAAATCATGAAAAATTCAAACTACTAAAAATAAGACAGGCCAACTTTCAGGAAAACAGATGACATCTGAATTATCTGAAGGATAGATACATGAAAGCAGAACTCAAGAATTTCACCAACTACAGTAGAAGTTCTTGCAATTTAGCGATACTAGCCTTAGCAACTGCACTAAGAATTATACTTAAGTAACTTTACAATTAAAGGCACTTCAGGTTTGGTATTACACACCTCTAATCTTATACAGTCTAAAAAAAACTCTTGACAAAGTTATTTACTGTCTAATGGAAAATTTTTAACACTGTCTTTTCAACTAAACCAAGTCACCTACTGTTCAATTGGTATGAATGACAAAACAAACAAACAAACAAATAAAAAGCCAACTGAAAAAAACCCTAACTATGCCCTTTCCCCATAACTGGTGGTTTTTACAGCAGCCCAGAGTTTAAAACTGGTTTGAAATAGGGAAGGGGCTGAGAATATAGTTCAGAGGAAGAGGCTTGCCTAGCATATGCCTCATCCTGGGTTCTATCCCCAGCACTGCAAAATAAATAAACAAACAAATAAATAAAAATAAAAATAATTGTGCCTGGGGTTATGGCTCAGTGGTAGCTTGCCTAGCATGCATGAGGCACTGGGTTCGATCCTCAGCACCACATAAATGTAATATACAGATACTGTGTCCACCTAAAACTTAAGAATAAATTTCTTTATAAAATAATAATAAAAGTAATTGGGGAGGGAGTTATAAGTTCATTTTAAAATTCTAATTCATACTCCAGTACCCTGTATATTATACCTGAGTGGTTTGTGCTACTCTAGCCTGTAATTTCTAAAACATTATTGTATATTATTGGCTTCTATTTTGCTAGACATTATGTCATCACTCTAGGAAGGCACAGTGGAGCATGCCTGTAATCCGGCAACTCAAGAGACTGAGACAGGAATATCCAAGGTCAAGCTTACGGAAAAAACGATCAAGGTCAAGCTTACGGAAAAAACACGATCTCAAAATAAAAAGGGCTGGGGATGTGGCTCAGTAATTAAAGGCCCTTGGGTTCAATCCCCAGTATCCCACCCCCACAAAAGAATTTGTGTAGGTGCATCATCTCTATAGTTTTCTTTCAAAATAAATTTCCATTATAAAATCAATGGCAATAATAAGATACCAAAGAAGATAATAATATTCATTACAGTAAAGTCAAAAAATACACAAATAAGTTACCCATCTACACAGATAATCCCTATTAACATCTTCTCAAACTCTATTTTCAGTCTTTTAAGGATAGCACTTCTTGTGCAACTACCAATATACTACTGCACCTATAATCAGCAGTCAACGAGTGAGAGAATATTACGAACAGAAGATGAAAATTACTCAGATGTCACAAATGGATTTTTTAAATTTGTCTAAAATATTTTGAGTTTAGATACAGCACCTTAAATCTTGTCAGAATAAATTAGCATGTAAAAATTAATTGAAGCTTTCAGATGTCATTATGGAAAAATATAACTAAACCACACCAATGACTAATCCTTAAATCCAATCTTCAATATTTCAAATTCTTCCCATCATTTCTTCTTGATTTAGCAATTTCATTCTTGCTATACTACAGTAAGTTGCAGCTCCATCCGTGGAACGAATTGAGCGTCTAGGAGGAAGCATTTCTTGTCTTGGCAATTAAAACACAATATGGCAATGGACGCTGAGAGTAAAAATTCCCCACTTTCTATACCATTAATCTCTTCCAACACCAATCTCAGTTTTTTGGAAAATGAAGTTCTATTTTAGCCTACATATAATATGAGCCATTTTCCTTTTACCTCTTCAAGAAACGTCCCAGTCCACCTCCTCCCACCCACTTTAAAGGCAACAAAGCTACCCTTAAGTCTTGCAGACTAACAATGACTTCTTTTAAAAGGAAATGCAGGTAAAAAGTCAAAGAAATTAACTGTGGTATGTGAATGTCAAAGCCATTCTCCAGGTTTTTTACAAACTTACAAATCTCCTAAAGCTAAGTAAATGCTCCTCATTAAGAAATTCAAGATCTGGCTTCCTCTCTTTTAAGTACTTCTAAAATATGCCCATAAACAACAGTTCTCCCTCCAAAGACAAAAACTGTAACATATGAGTTTTCTGGTCTCCAAAGGTTTTTTAACCTCAAATAGGGAAAAAACTTTGAAAATTATTCTACAAATTTTCTAGTCACGAGGCAATAATTTTTTTACAATGTTCAATTACAAAATCTTCCCACGCCTTTGAGAAAATTATATATTTGTATTATTAAGATTAAAAAGACTCTTAAAAAATTTTTTGGTTGTATATGGACACCATTCCTTTATTTATTTTTTATTTGGTGTTAAGAATCTAACCCAGTGCCTCGCATGTGCTAAGCTCTACCACTGGGCCATAACCCCAGCCAGAGTTATAGGCTTTTTAAAATGAAAACATTAAATGTTAATTTAAAAAAATTACTCTCTAGGTTCTATGATGAATTATTGTTAAAAGAAGAGCTATGCCAGATATCTGGTGCACATTTGCAATCCCAGCCACTAGGGAGACTGAGGCAGGATGATGTTGAATTGGAGGGCAGCCTCAACAACTCAGGGAGGTCCTATCTTAAAAAGAGGCTGGAAGCCTGGTGCAGTGGCCATGCTTGTAATTCCAGTAGCTCAGGAGGCTGAGACAGGAGGATTTCCAATCAAAGCCAGCTTCAGCAAAAGAGAGGCGCTGTGCTGAGCTCTAAATAAAACACAAAACAGGGCTGGAGATCCGACTCAGTGGTTGAGTGGCGCCTCAACAGTTCAATGGACCCTATGCTTTCACTGAAAAGGTGTACCACATTTTTATCTAAAATGTCAACAAAAAGCCAGTTGACTATTTAGATGGAAAAAAGCCCTAGCCTAAGAAGAAATTCTTAAGATTTAGATTCTAGCCCAGGTTTTGATAGATGCTAACTTGTACTACCTTCTATTAAGTACAACAACAGGTTTTTACAGATTAATGCTTGCCATCAGGTATACCATAGAGGTACTCATTCAAAAAGGAAATAAGAATTTCGAAGGAAAGCATTCCCGCTTCATTTTGAAAGAATTATAATGGTCCAGGGAGCCATCTAAAATGATCACTCAAGAGAGAGATGGGACCATTCCACGGCTATTTCAAGACTGCCTCTCATGGAAGGAAGCCTATCCCTGAAGGCCCGTGTCAACAAAACAAATGTTAAACACCAAAGCTGTTTTGAGGTTTGTGGAGAACGCCAGCTCAACAATGAAGGGGAGAACTCCAACCACACCTCGGGGGACGCCTCCAGCTCCCAAGGCTTTAAAGGTCATAAACTCCATTCCCGAATTACCTTCTCCATCATCTTGCGCTCCCTCTCCAGTCCCGCAGCCTCGAGCTGCGTCTCCTCCTCCAGCATGGCTGGGGTAATCACAGCAGTCTCCTCCTGTTCAACCATTCCGGGAACCGGGGGCCCTAGCAGGAGAAAGGCTTTTCCATGATCATCTTTATTTAAAGTTATCAACGACTCGACCCGGACCTGAAACTTCCTCCGAAGCAGAAGCTGAAGACCCACCGCGAAGCCAGCTTCCCAGGTCTTCTCGTCGCCCCCAATTCGTCGGACCCCAGTCTACACTCCGGGATGCTCGGGAAAGTGCAGCTCCCTGCTGCGAAAATCTCCCACACCACGCAAATGTGTGCGACTCCGGAGTGACCTCCGGTCACCTCTCCACAGCTTCTCGTCCCTCTTTCCCCCTCAGCCCCTGCCCGGGGTAGGCTCCCTCCCCCAAGCTCCGCCGCAGCCTCCATGCTGCCCACCCCCGCTCCGAATGCTGCCCGGAGGAAGATTCTCGTCACTCACCGCCGCTGCTCGCGGGCTGCTCCGCCGGCATGGCTCTGGACGCTCTCGGGGAACCTCGCGCTCGCCTCTCCGCGCCAGCTAAGCCAAGCGCTAATCCCCCACAGCAGCTGCAGACCCAGCCTTCTCTCCCAACACCCAGCCCGGGAAAAACGCGCGCTTCTCCTTCGCGGGAAAACTCTATTGTCTCGCGATACTTCGGTCTCACCGCCTACTCCTGGCCTTGGCTGCGCGAGATTTGGCGCAGTTGGGGTTTTCCTGAGGGGAGATTGGCGACCCCGGGTGGGCGTTTGCGGGCACGACTACCCAGAGGAAAGGAGGGTCTGCTGACTTCCGTTTTTAACCACCTCTGAGGTATGGGGAAGTCTACTGACTGTGGGGAGCCCGGTTGCCTCCTGCCTTTGGCGAGGATTCGAGCTGCTCGGTGGTTTTAGTGGCGCTCTTAACAGTTGGAGAGGCGCCTTGGCGCCCTTGCCAATGTGAATGAATACCCGCCAACCCGTAGCCTTTAGGGAGACGGATGTCAAACAAATATTGCAAACCTTCCGCCACGCCTAGAGCATAGATCACATTTGGGTAAAAAATCCTCTGAAAATATCCAAGAGGCGGGGTTTTGTGGGTGGAGATAGGCAATTAATCAGGGTTCAAGAAATTTGTGTAGGCTATGGGAAAGCTGAAGCAGTGGAACAAACCGCGGAAAAGAGTTAGGAAAACAACTAGAGCAGTCCTCAGAGTTCATGCTGAAGGAAGGAGCAGGACTTTCTGTTAGACCAGGAGGCAAGAAAAGACCACTGACTCCAATTAAAATCAAATTAAAGCAAGCTTATTATTTCGACCAGGCTGCCTCTCCCTCCCAAAACGTGGGAATAAGACAGCAATAGCTGCTTTCCTGCAGCCCAGCTTTATAGCCCAGAAAGTTACACAAAGGGGGGTTACAGATAACAGAACTCTGAGGAGCATCACATGAATGGTAGTTTACACTAATGGTAGTTTACATTTTTTTGCTGGCCCCAACATCAGAATTTATGAGGACCATTAGAGCCTCAGAGAGGGTCCTTGTCTGGCCAGGGAAGGCCAAGATTTGTGAGGCATCACTAAGGTTTCAGAGAGGGCTGCTATCTGGTCAGAGAGCCAGGCATGGGTGAGTTCAGGGCACCGGCAGGCATTCCAAGCAGGTTCGGAATTTGCAGTAATTTATAGTAAAGCTGAAATTATTTTTTCATGGCTTTGTGGCGAGATGGCTCCCAATTTTAAGAAAAGATCAGGTTGGGTCTATCACTTTCTTGTCGCAAACTTAAGCTTTCATTCCACCTTATCTGCAATCCTTTGGACCTTCCCTCCCCTCCCAATTTCTCAGAATCTAGAGTATGCTTGTAGGGAACCACTTGTTTCCTTCATTTCTGACTCCACCTACTTTAATGAATGTGTACAATAATTTAAGAGTTTACAATGCATGACCATAAGAACCATATTTAGCACCTCATGACAATGCTAAAACTAGCAAAGCAGATTCCTCTATTCCTACATCAGGTGAGAGAACTGATGCTGGAGGGGATAACTTTCTGTGTAGAAGCCTACAGTTGCGCTGATAAAACAGAAGTCCAATCCAAGCCTTTTGACTCTTAGTGCAATATTTTCTCAAGTGAAAACGTAGGCTTTGTTGCCGCAAGCTGTAGCGCATGCCTGTAGCACTTAAGCTAAGTTCAAAGCCACCCTCAGCAATTTAGGGAGACCCTTTTCAAAATGAAAAGGGCCAGTGTTGTAGCTCAGTGGTAAATCATCCATCCCCGGTACCAAAAAATAACAAAACATAGCTTCTGTTAATAACTTTTTTTCTTTTTGTGATATTGGGGATTGAACTTGAGGGCGCTGTATCACTGAACTACACCCCCAGCCTTTTTTAAATTTCTTTTGAGACTGAGTCTCACTAAGTTGCCCAGTGTGGCCTCGAATATTTTTTTTAAATAAAATTTAAAAATACTGAAATAAAATTTATTTCCATGTGTTCCCTCTTCTTCTCTCTCTCAAAATATGGAATTTTCTTAAAGTTTTATATGCTTTCCCCCCCCCACATTTTTATTGGTGCATTGTAGTTGCACATAAGTTGTTATGTATTCATACATGAATACAGTATAGCTATAATTTGGCCAATATCATTTCCTGACACTTCCCCCACCTCCCTCGACCCCAAATATTCAATCCACCTGCCTCAGTTAGCCTCCTAAGTTATTGGAATTATAGGCATGTACTGTCAGCTCAGCCCTGTTTTTTTTTTTTTTTTTGGCAGGGCTGGTGCAGGGTGTTACTGGAGATTGAATCCAGAGGCACTGTACCACTGAGTCACATCCCCAACCCTTTTTTCTTTTTTAATTTTGAGATAGGGTGTCGCTAAGTTGCTTTGGGCCTTGCTAAGTTGTTGAGGCTGGCTTTCAACTTTTGTTCCTCCTGCCTCATCCTCCCAAGAGCACTTGGCATGCACCACCAAACCTGATTTTTGAAACACTGATTTTTATGAGGTTTTTGAAAATATTTCCTTCTTTTAAACTCAGTTTTGTCCCACTTTCCAAAATCTTTTCTCCATATGTTGCTTTTCTCTATATACTTTGTTCTTGCATCAGCATCTGCTCTGTAGCATAAGCTCAGCTTTCCTTCTAATTCCTCAGCAAGTGGGGAATTGTCCAACCACAGGAGATAGAGCTGAGAACAAATGCATTTGATTTTCAAAAGACAGATATCTCCCCTGGCCCCATACTTGTTAATAAAAGGGCACTGGGCATCTCCTAACACAAATTTGTCCCTCAGTGGCTGAGGAAAGTTTTGTTCATCCACTCTCAAGGGCTTAGTTCAGATGCTTCCAGGATACCTAGAAATGTTAATAGTAGGTATACAACAACAAGAACTAGATAAAACAAATCTCTGCAGATATGGAACTTAACATTTCAAGATTTAAGGCCAGGCACAGTGGCACATGCCTATAATTCAGTGAGGTGGGGGGAGTCAAAAGGACCACAGATTGGAGGCCAGCCTGGGTAACTTACTTAGACCTTGTCTCAAACTTTTAAAAATGGATTGGGGATGTAACTCAGTGATAAAGCACTCCTGAGTTCAATCCCAAGTACTGCAAAAAAGAAAAAAGAAAAGAAAAATATTGGGGGCAATACTCTGCAACATATTAGAATAAAGTGAGAATAAATTAGTGGTTATTTTAGATTGGGTCGCTAAAGAGTGAACCAACCAGTCAGGGGAAGAAAATCCAAGCAGTAACTAGCTAGTCAAAGAATCTAAGGCAGGAATAAGACTGGGCATGTTCAAGTATGAGAGAAGGCCAGTATGACTGAATTAGAGTTGGCAAGAGAAAGTGACACGAAAGGACATTGAGATTTTTCTTCTGATTCAAGTCATTATTTTTTTTCTGCCCACACAAAAATGTCTTCTTATAAGATCCTTTTCATATGAATGGCTTCATCATCCTCCCAATCATAGAAATCAAAACAAAACCAAATTACCCTTCTTCTTGCTTACATACTAGATGACCCACCTTCCTGCCTCACAAAATAAACAACAGCTTCAAGACAGAATTCCCTCAGCTTCCCAACACCAAACTATAAATATAGCATCTGTGTACCTTTTCCACTTTCCCTCATGTTGTATTCCAGATCCAACTCCCTACAGCCCATTTCAGGATTCTTAAATTACATAGTATTTCATTCTTTGGCTCTTAAACCTCTACTGAATCTTCTCCATTAGTATTCAAATACTTCTTTCCCATTTAAAAAAAAAAAAACAACTAATATCTGCTCTCTCTTTCCTTTGTAGCTTTAGAATTATATATACTGGCATTCTTTAATTTCTTGCCCCGCTCTGATTCTTGTACCATCTCACTGGTTGCTACAACTCAACACACACCAAAGTAGCACACACTAAGGTAATCAATGACTTACATCTCTGTTGTGAAATCTACTGTATATCAGTTATTAGCTCAACCTTATTGTATGTGAGTTCTTTAAATGTACGTTTATAGGACACCACGGATGTTTTGTGGGTTTTTTTTTTTTACATTTTATTTTTTTAGTTGTAGTGGGATGTAATATATTCACTTTATTTATTTATTTATTTTTTATGTGGTGCTGAGAATCGAACCCAGGGCCTCGCATGTGCTAGGCGAGCACTCTATCGCTGAACCACAACCCCAACCCATCACTGATGTTTTGATACATCTACATATTATGTACTGTTCAAATCAGGGTGAAATCCCAATTATCACTTCTTTATGGTAAAATGAGGTAGGACAGAAAAAAGTTAAAAACTAGTAGAAAAGAGAAGGGAAAGGAAACTATTAAAACTTTTGAAAGCCTCGTGTTTTGTTTCTCATAGTTTTGTCCCAAGCCAGTTTTTCTCCTAAGTCTGTCACTCCCAAATTTCTGGGAAATTAGGGCTGGGGTTGTGGCTCAGTGGTAGAGCACTCGCCTAGCATGTGCAATGCCCTGGGTTCGATCCTCAGCACCACATAAAAATAAATGAAAGGTATTGTGTCCAACTACAACTAAAAAATAAATATTAAAAAAGAAACTTCTGGGAAATGTATAAATCTTCATTCACAATCTTAAAGTTATGGGAAATTCACCCATTTATGACAATTGCCTTGTGCGTTGTAAATTAGCCCACTAATACCTGCATTTTTAGAATGAATTAAGAAAAGGGAAATATAAAACCAATAATATAGGATACTTTATCAATGTTATCTATTAATCACATAATGAAAAGGACACCTACCTAAGGATTCTTAGAACTGCCAAACTGCCATAAATTGTCTTGTGGTCATTGGACTGATGTGACCTCCACATACTTCCCTATATATACCCCTCACAAGTTTTCCTTTAATAGAAGGCCCCAAATAGGCTGGAGTTGTAGCTCAGTGGTAGAGCGCTTGTCTGACATGTATGAAGCACTGGGTTCGATCCTTAGCACCACATAAAAAAAAAATAATAAGTAAATAAATAAAGGAAAAAAAAAAAAGAAAAAAGAAAGTCTCAAGACCCCAAAAGCATTTCTCACTCTTGAAATAGCTTTAGATTGCTTCTTCCTTAAGAATACTTCTTGCTTTTCTAAATAAATCTGTGCCTCAATGTCTCACACATGCCAAAATTATTTTCTATTGAAAGATGAAGATCTGGTTGTTCTAAGTTGAGATTCCCCTCTC